GCTGCACTCCCCCCCGCCCACCTCTGCATGCTGCACTCCCCCCCCCCCGCCCACCTCTGCATGCTGCACTCCACCGGGACCACCTTTCTTGTTTCCCACACACCACAGCCCTACCCAGATGGTCAGGTACAATTCTTCCCGAAAGTCCCAGGGAAGGTGAACTGTCCCTGTCCCGTCATCACAAGGACTGTCAACGCCATGAAGCAGTAGACTTGTGTTTTTATACCCCTCAGCTAAGAAGCATAGCCACCAGTGATCCCTGGAATGTGAGTCTGTGTCTAGTCGGGAACGTCAAGTGAGCAATTCTCAGTAACTTGGCTGCCCCTGCTAGAGGTTCGCCAGCCTCTGTGACATTGCTGTGGAGCACAGCCTGGAGTTGTAAGAAAGAATGCCATCCATACCTAAGCCAGAAGGGAGCGTGTGCTGACCAAGGAAGGGAATAGGTCTGAAGGGGCATCCTCAGTCAGACGACCGAAAACAGCCTCTCCGGTGCACACTTGGCATCTCAGTTATTCTGGAGGCTGGAGAGGAATGCTCCGTTGAGGCTGGGAGTTCAGGGCAGTCTGGACAGCGCAGACTGACCCTGTGTCAGGAAAAAATCTTTGCAACGGCTGCCATCTCTTACTCCCCTGCTGTCTGTATGTTGTCACGTAAGCCCTCTCCCTCTATCTAGTTTGCTCTACTCTAGCCAGTGCTGATAGGCAATTTATACACCCTCTGGCGTGCAGGGGCAAGCAATTAACCACCCCCTCATCCAGGGAAACCGCTCATGCTGCGAAGGGGGAGCTTCTTGATGTCTGGTCAAGGGAGATGGACCACCCTGGAGGAGGGGGCAGGTGGCTGACGCAGCCTTCCCTCTGTGGTTGGTAATAGGTTTCACTCACTTCTGGACTCCCAGAGATGTCTGCGGAATTGAAAAGCACCCTGACACCTGAGCATCAAAGAAAATTGGCCTGGGAGCTGCAGGTCCTTAATCAACAGATGTGCCCCTGCTACACAGGTGACCTGGAGAGGGGCCACAGGGCATGTCACACACATACCTGGCTGGCTCCAGAGCAAATTGAGTTTGTGCCAGTACCTGCAGGTGGCGGGCTTCAGAGCTTTGACCTTCAGCCCTCCTTACCCAAGTTCTCTAAGAGAAATCATGGAAGGCAGCATTTTCCAGTGCCTTTGGGAGAACAGTGTCATATTGATCCCAGAACCGTATATTAGCCTGAAATATATTGCATTCTTCAGGGAAAGAGAAAATTGGTGATGAAACATGAATCAATATCCTTCTCGTGTGCAGTATGGGGTGGGGGCACTAAACATCACACTCAAAGTCTGTAGCTGTGGCCCGCACCTGCACTTGGGCCTTGCAAGGCCAGCATGGGGCTCCTGAAAAAAAAGGGGTCTTATTGTGAAGCCAAGGCTCTGACAGGGCAGTGTCCCAACCCCAACACTGTCCACAAGGAAGGGCCCACAGAATCATGATCCATCCACCCAGCCTCCTCTTCTAAAAACACTGAAAAAACTAGTACTTTCTCACAAAGGGAAGCAAAGAAGTGGTTCCCTAGCACGAATCTGGAATTCTCTGATAGCAGCAAGCAGGCTTGCTGGAGAGTGGGAAATGGCAGAGCTTCCCGCTCAAGGCAGCAACGAAATTACACACTACTGCAGACATGGCTTTGAGGCCCCTGCTTTCCAGGATGGGGTTGCCCATCTGCACCCCATCATCACCTCTTGACTTCTTGGTGTCTATCACCAATGGTTCTAGTGTACTCTCCTCTGAGTCCTGCACTGTGGGTTTGGTGATGTTCTTTCCCAACCAGGCCTGGTACCACACTTGCCTCTAAGATCCATCATGGTAATGTTACTGTGTTCACCACAAACCTTGACACAGTAACCTACCCCAGTTCTCAATGAGTCCCAATAACTCCTGGGAATGGACCCGGGATTGGGATTTGATTGACAAGGTTTTGTGGGACTAGGGGATACCCGCTGAAATCTACAACCCGTGACACATTCCCTCACGTCACTAAAGCTGAGTTCTCAGATCCTCCTTGGATGCCCGAATACAAGCTTGGCACCTCTGAGAGCTAAAGCCTGTCATCACAAACAATAGCTTCACTATTTTTATTGTAAACGGAAAGGTAAACTTCATTGCTAAGTTGCAGGTTCCTGCTCAGCTTGGAAAGCCTAGACAAATGGCTGTCCAAGCTAGGAGATTGCAGAATCTCTCTTTTACCGAGTCTCTAAGCAGCCTTCCCCCAGGCATTTCCTACACAGCGACTTTTGCCATGCACACAAAAGAGGCCAAAATCTGGAGTCTGGAGTTGCCATCTGCAGCCACTCAGAGCATTTCAGGACTGGAGTGGGCACAGAGGCATTACTCAAGGATCCTCTGGTTGTGTCAGGGCAGGCGGGATTCACCAGGCTGACCCACTATGAGGGAGACTCGCTGTGCTAAATGCATCTATTTCCTTTGATGCCAACAGCCCGAACATTGCCCATGCGTCCTTCTGATCACTGCATGCATGCACCCTGCTGCCTTTACCTGTCCCCCGACTCAGCCTACAGAAAGTGACCAACCTTCGTGGCTCGATTATCCTTGAGGCTGAGCCGCTACAGTGGGCAGATAGCACTCTATAAACAGAGCTTCTTCATGGGACCCACATCCTGCCGGTGGCTGAGGTAAACACCAGTAACACTGATTTTCCTCCACCCCCGCGTGTTGTTCTGATGTCCAAGGTGCAGGGTCAGAGCTTGAGGTGATGTCAAAAAGGCTGAGCCCTGCACCAGGGCTGTCTTCCAGGGGTCAGTCGGTAGGGAAACGGGAGCAGAGTGTAGACATAGCTCAAGTGCCCTGTAGAGCCTCCGCATTGTGGTATTATCCAGCTCCATGGCTTGTGCTTGGGACAGTTTTCAGCACATACCTGACTACCACGTCCCCATCTTTGTCTCAATCCCTACAGCCTCCACTTAAGGCCTCCCTGGCCCCATGACCTCACCTCTGCCTGACTACAGATTTCACACTCCACAAGGACAACAATAATAATGGCTAATATACAAAAAATGCTATCAAAATATGCCCAGAGACTCCCCCGACTTCAGGATTTACCATGTTCCCAGTCTTTTTCTGAATCAGCACCATTCCCTTTCATTCAATGAACTTGATACTAAGGTGATTTTTTTTTCCCTATCATTTGTCAGTGAGGAAACCAAGGCTTTACAGACATACTCAAAATGCCTGCTCATGGCTAGGAACCATACACCAATGGGAGCTGGCACACACAGCTCAGAGAAGGCCTCACAGCCATCAGTAGAGGCACATCTCTGGCCTGGGGCTGCCTGACCTCTTACAAATCTATCCGATCATGTCTGCAGCAATGACCAATACAGGTCTTGGTCCCCTAAGTCCTTAGTCCCCAAGTTCAGCTCCCCCTGCTCTGGTCACGAGTTAGAAGCTGTCTCAGCTTCTTCTACATTCTCTCCAGACCCACTGGGCAGCATGGGAGACAGACAAATCTGAGTTGGGCTGTGTGTCTGGCTGCAGGAATTAAGCTGAGTAACCAAACGGGCGAGTTCACATACTGATGTGCCCAGGCTCGGGCTGGACTCAGCATCCTGCAGTTTACGCAAGGCACACACATTTCACACATTACACGGTACATGCAGAGGCTTCATCACAGGGCAGTGGCTGGTGTCAGTGACACCGTCAGCACTGTCAGGGAGCTTTCTGAGGACAGGCCAGGAAGTGTGGTGTGCAGAGGAGCTGATCTTGTCAGGGCCCAGGCCTCACCTGGCTGGCGGGAGTCTGACCCACCACGGCCTCATACGGTGGGGGCAGCTCAGCAGGATACAGCATGCCAGGGCTGTTGATGGCAACATCGTATATAGTGCTGAATGGGGAGGAGGCGAAGTCCAGGTGGAGGCCCCTAGAAAACAGGACAGCCCATCACATGGTCATCCTCTGAGAGCCTAGAGTCTGACATTTCTCTTCAAATGTTGACTATCTAATATTGTCATGGTGAAGATAAAAGCCTGAGTCAATGGGCAGGTTTAACTTTGGTCTTTCTTCTGAAAGATGCTCGTATTTCATTGACCACTTCAGCTCTGTCTACTATAATTAAGACAATGATAAAGCCGATGAAATTTCTAATTAATGTCCCACGCTCTGTGACGACTGTCGCTCAGGAGCAAGTTTGCACACATAAGAATACAACAGAGTTCACTACTGGCCTACGGTGTCATTTTAGGTGGCACTACAAAGATACAAACAGAAATCTTCTGTTCAAGTCAGGCCTTGTGGTGCTTGCCTGTAATTCTAGCCCTTGGGACAACGAGGCAGGAGCATGGTGAGTGTGAGGCCATTTGGAGCTACCTAGGGAGTTCAAAGCCACCCTGGCTGTACAGTGAGGCTGTCACCAGCAACAAAATACAAATGGAATGCAGTTAACTCATCGCCACCACCAAAACCCCAGAGAACAAAAATAAGAAAAGAAATTCTGCATTTCCAGGTCACATGGCCTTTCTTCATTGGCTATCCTTGTAAGGCGCATGTCTCTGTACCGGCTTTTATTCTGTTCCCCTCCACACCTTTCTCTCCCCTGCCATCAGCACTTCCTCCTCCCAAAGACGCTTCCTGTCTGTGGCTTCTCACGCATCACGGGACACGGGACACGGGACACCGAGAGGAAGACTGACCTGTGGGCCTCCGCTGTGGGCGTACAGGTATATTCTGGAGGGTAGTAGGGTGGAGGCGGGAGGGGGGCAATGAACTCATCGAAGTCCAGGGTCTGGTGGAGAACGGTGCCGTGTGGAGTCACGCAGGCAGCACTGGCCGAGTGGGACCTCTGTGGGAAGAACTGGAGAGCACAGAGAACCAGCGTTATCCCAGGGCTTGTGTGGCTGGCGGCTAAGGGAGCTAATTGCAAACACATTTACATAGCACGGTTTAGGCTGCCAAGCCATGACTGCTAAACACGCTCTGTATAAAGGATAGCTCTGACCTTGCTCTGCTCCACTTCCTATACTGCTATGCAGGATGCCTCTGATGTGTGTGTGTGTGTGTGTGTGTGTGTGTGTGTGTGTGTTAAAGAGCTGGGAAGTCTTTAATGCAGATTCTTACTGTGAACCTTCACTCCTATGACGCTAATGCCTTAACACTGCAGTCAAAAGGACACTTGTCACTCATGTTCCCACACAGCACCAGCAAATCCCTGTCACAGTGCATTCATGGTACACGCCTACACCTAAGTCCCTTCTCCGAGTCCTGCAAAGTGCTTCGGGCCTGCACTGTGAGCCCAGCCTGTCTCACACACTTCCTTAGAGTTCACTATGGGCCCTAGGAGCACTAATACCTAGGGATCCACACACTTTGTAGAATATTGCCCCCAAAGGTGAAGAAAGCCCACCATGGGCTCCAGAATATCCTGTGGGGGCAAGTATGAACACTGGGTGCTACTTAAAAATATCAAGGGAAACATATTTTAATAAAACAAATGCCCTCTGCCTGCATTTCTGCTTCTAAAGTATTAACCGAAACTTGTTTCTCTCTCCATCCTCGGGGCACTCCTACCAGAGGTCACGTGTTCTACGGAAATGCCCGAGACACTGCTTCGTTTATAGGTATAAAATGACCCACACTGCATGGGCTCCGCAGCCTTTCCCATAGTGTGTCAGCGAAGTAAGAGAGAAGAGACAAACACCAAGAATCACAAGTACGCAGTTAAGTGCAGCAGCTTCATTGGCAACGACAGCTCTCCAATCAGTGTGGGACAGGGCATCTACCGAGCATCCACAAAGCAGGTGAGATCTAACTGGGCCTCGAAGACGGGTGGGGCAGCACCTCCAGGCTCTAAAGCAGATGGCCAGCAAGTGGTGTGTTTCAGAAGAAGGAAAAAAATGAGGGTCTGTCTGGTCAATTCTTAATGGGGATTTGCAGGAGCCAGTGAGGATATTGAAGCTGGGTGGCAGGGAACCAACTAGTGGTGGAGGGATAGGGTGGGTTCATCCAGACAGGGGGGCCAGGCAGTTGGAAAATTTCTGCACTTGCTAGGCTGAGTCCAAGGTTCAGAATACGGTCAAATGCAGTGAAATCAGTGTGCTCTGGGCTGATGGCTTCATCAGAGTGAGGGACGCAGGGACTCAGAAATGGCTACCGCCAGCCTTCCCAACACAGAGCACATTCCCTGCCCTTCCAGTTAGGCTGACTCGTTGCTGGTTCCCTTATTGTCAGAAATTAGAGGGGAATTGCTGGCTGTGAGCTGGTTGGATGTATGCTGTCATCCTCTGCTTCATAAACTGTTAATCCCTGTGCTTGCTGCTCAATAGCTAGGCGACGAGGGGAGGGTAGATGTCCTGGGGGTCCAATGAGGAACTATTTTTGAATAAATCTCTATCAGAAATGAGAAGAACCAATCATCTACTCAAACAAAACTCATGAAATGCAAAAGCACTCAACAACAGCAACCCAATGCCAAGTTAAAAGACAGTGCCTCCTCTCTGAGCACGACTTTGTCTTTGCTGGGGACTGCTGCTTTCTTTCAGAAGTTGCCTTGGTCTTGGAGTTCTAATCCCAGCAACAGCAAAGTAATAAATACGCTGTCAGGCTGTCTGTGTTTTATCCACCTGTTCTTTTCTGAATGGGGCACAGCACACGCTCAGCCAACATCAACAGAGTAGATGGATGGATGGATGGATGGATGGATGGATGGATGGATGGATGGATGGACACCTCTTTGCTACATTGCCCTTGCTCTCCTGCCCCCGCAGAAGCAGCCAACGGAGCAGTGAAGGAGCAAGCTGCCCAGGCTCTGCTCCTGGCATGTGGGCTCCATCTTCTGCAGGAGCTATTTTTAGAGCAGCCCAGATGAGCTCATGCTGCTGGAGAATCTCTTACCATCAAGACCTCTGTGCACTGAATCCCATCCAGTTTCCAGCTGCCTTCCAACCAGTGCCAACCACCCCCTGCTCCGAACAAGGTCTGCTCAGCCACCCTCCACACCATGCGTGCTTTGTCTCCTCTTCCTGGCAACTTAGCCCCTTCCCAGATGGCAACCTGCCAGCCCTCCTTCCGTGTCCGTGACTGGAAGGCCTGTCTGCGAGCCTGCGATCTCTGCACTCAGGATTCATGCTCTGGGGCCTCATGTCTACACCTTCATGGTTAGGTATAAAGCACAATTCTACAGCTCCTGGAGAGGGTTAGAAACTCCTGTATGGTTCTGTCTTCCCTGGATGGTCTAACCCACATGGAGTCACCAGCATAGCTGTGTGTGGAAACTGGCCGAGCTGCTTACACATTCTCTCTTCCCACCAGGATTTGTCACTCATACTATAGCAGTGTGCACCCGAGACTTTATGTTCTGTCTGCTATGGGAGGGGGGTTTCTTCCAGGAACACCTGAAAGCTAGAGGCACCAAGAGCTGCCGTTACTTGACCCTGGGTAGCTTCCCAAGGCACACAACATGGAGCCCCTAACTAAAATCTGGCTCAGCTCTTACAGTCTAGCTTTCTGTAGTCTGGAAGAGACCATGAAGAGGTTAATGCACTTCAGACCGCCAGTCAGAGTCTGGTCGCCAGACACTGAGCAACCACTGAGATTCACGTGACTTTGCACCTTACTGATCTATTAATCTCAGCTTCCCTTCCCCTGGTGCCACCAGGATTGTAACATGAAATGCCACCCCGTGTCACAGATCCATGCAGAAGGCTCAAATGAAGGCCTCTGTCATGGCCATTATGTCTCTTGTCTCCGTGCCTGATCTGCGGGGGAACAGGATGGAGGGCAGGCTTGGGCAGCAAGGGTCTGGGTGCCTCAGCAAGGTCTGCCCAATGCCTGGCTCACTGCCTTCCCTGCCCCCAGCTTCCTCCCGGCAATTCTGGCTCTTTGGGTGACTGTTAAACTCCTGGGGTGAGTCACGACTTTGAGGATCCTGCACATCTTCCAGCAGCACGCTCACCGTTATCAGGGCCTGTGCACACCCATCTGCACTTTCCAAGTGGCTCTGCTTAGAGAGACATGTGAGCAGACGTGCGCGGATCGGGCACGCGGATGGGATGACTGTGTGACAGCTGTGGATGCTTCCGAGGCTAAGGTGGCAGCGAGGGAAGTGGGGAGAAGAGTGATGCAGCAGAAAGTAGGGAAGTGAGATTACATTTAAAAACAAAGCTAGGAACGACACGAGAGGCACTTAGGAGGGAAAGCACCATCTCCACTGTGCTGTGCCAATAAGCGGAACTGCATCCCCATCCAGTTACTATTTCTGCACATGTTAGAAGCGCTGGGCTTTACCAGTTCCGGCAATAGGAGTAATACTTGCCATCTCATGCATTCATAGTGTTAGTTCCAACTGCAGCTAATTATCCCCAATATGGATGCATTCGAATTTTAAGATGTGGGTACTTAGAATCCTAAAGCCCTTATAGTACGGCTGAGCCCTGGCTGTGGTCATGACCTTGAGTTGCCTGTCTCCGTGAGCCAACTAGAGATCTGCCTGGTAACTCCTACAGTAAACCAAGGAGGCCACAGAGCAAATGGGTGAGATGTGTCAGTCCATGATACCAAGTTGGGACTCTTCTGAAAAGTTAATGTGACAGTTACATATGAGCCACAGCAGAAATGGCTGGGGTTTCATCCGCTAACTCTCCAGAGTAAAGTGAACATGACAGTATGGCAGAATGAGTGCCCATGGATGGTTCATGGCTGCCTTCCCTGCATGGCTGCCCCTGAGGCAGTACAGGAGGATGCTCTCCTTTAGTGCCAGGTAAGAGAACCAAGGTAGGGTTGTGCTGGATAGCTTTATGTCACCTTGACATGAGCTAAAGTCATCTGAGAGGAGGGCTCCTCAATTGAGAAAATGCCTTCATAACTTTGAGCTACAAGCAGGCCTGTAAGGCATTTTCTTAATTAGTGATGGATGTGGGAGGCCCCAGCCCATGGTGGGTGGTGTCATCCCTGGGCTGGTGGTCCTGTTTTCTGTAAGAAAGCAGGCCTAGCAAAGGCATGGGCAGCAGCACCCCTCCATGGCCTCTGCATCAGCTCCTGCCTCCAGGTTCCTACCCTGTCCTGTTCCTGTCCTGACTTCCTTCAGTGCCAGACTACATTTTGGAAGTGCGAGCCAAATAAACCCTTTCCTCTCCGGCTTGCTTTCTGGTCATGGTGTTTTGTTACAAAGCTAAGACAAGGGCCCAGACTATGGTGCTAGGAATAGGCTTTACCCTCTCGGCCCATCATCCCTGTGTGGAGAGTTACTCAGGAAGGTATGTAAGTATGGCAGCAGGAGCCTGGTGCATGCATCGGGAGTGCCCCACAGTGCTCTCTGAAAACAGCCTTGTGTGTTGGTTATGAGGTATGGGCCAACGGGAGGTTGCACACATGCTGGTGGAAGCTGCTTGCCAGTAGCGACCTTGTCATGAATTAGTGCTTCTTAGGGGAGCTGTGGCTGTGGTATGACACTCGCCAAACATGTACAAGACCAGGGATTCAATCTCCAGTACCACACAGACACATCCCCCCCCACACACACAGATACACACATCTATACACTCATATAGTCATATAGACACAGAAACACACTTAAATAATACTTCTCACTTTGAGAATCTCAAATAAAAATAACAGAAGAATGACTGGTAAGTAACATGAGCCACAACTGGGCTCAACAAATGGAAATCCAGCCAGAATTGAGATGTCAAAACAAGGTACGGCAACACTGAGGTCGTGGTGAGCGGCACAACGCAGAACCGCAGCAGAGATCTCATAGAATCCAGTGGGATTATGTTTCAGAAACTGACAAACTGATTCTGAAATTCACAGGGAACGACAAAGGTATGGGGTTTTCACAACCAGCTTGAGAATAGAGGAAACTGGAAGATTCTCACTCCCATTTTAAAAGGGACTCTAAGGGGGTGAGCAAGGCTCTGTGGGGTTGCTGTAAAGATAGACACGAAGGCTGATGAAATAGAACTGTGAGCCTCTAGATAAACCCATACATCTGTGGTCAGCTGTTTACCACCAGTGACCCGGAGCCAACTCCGTGCCTTAATCTTTGCATTTCAACAGATGGTGCCAGGAACCACACAAAACTGGACCGCCCCCACAATATATATTGCAACCAACTCAAGATGTTCCTCAGTGTCAAACTAAGACTGCAAAACTCTCAGGAGGAATAATTTTAATTCCTTGGGAGACAGGATACCAAAAGCAGAAGCAGGAATGGAAAAAGGAGACACACTGGGCATCATTGAAATTAAAGTGTTGTGGTTTGGGAGCTACCACCAAGGGTCAAGATGATCACCAGAACAGGAGAAAACACGTACACACCGCACTTCTGAGGAGAGACCTGTATATCCAGAGAACACAGAGAACGCCATGACTCAGCAAGAAGAGACAATTCCAGTTTTTAAAATGGGCAAAGTCAGTCTGTTTCTCCACAGAAGATCTATAAGTAGCCATTAAACACACAGGAAGAGAACCACCATCAGTAATCATGGGAAAAGGGCAAATCTAAACTACAATGGAATACCACCTCCCAACCACTAGGCTGGAGGAGGGGCAGGGAGGAAAGACACCTATTTATATGCAGTTGTATGAGCTCTTAGATATGATGGGTACACGGAAGGACCACCGCGAAGCTTTCATATTTGTCTCATCCATTTGGGTTTCTTTATGTACCGCTATGAAATTTAGCTTCGTCCAGTGATCACACAGTATTCCTTTAATTAAATGACTGGAATGAAATGAAGTATAAAGTCTGAAAAGAGATCTCAAAGCATCTCCTTAAACATCCTGGTTCCATTTTTTTGGATGTGTCTACAAACCTACAGGGTCAGCCTACTTCTTCTAGAGCCAGCCATACTCCATATGGCCACCCTGTGTCTAAAAAAAAAAAAAGAAAGAAAGAAAGAAAAAAAGAAACCGCTTCTCTATATTATATGATCCATCCTCTCAGCAGTTCTGGCAGGATGGTAGGACTCAAATGCTTATAGCGCTATGAACAGCTCTTCCTCCTGCCCCTTCGCCCCACCATGCCGCTGGAGCATACACAGTTCAGCTCAGTCTGACCAGGAGACCAGAATGCTGCCTGTGCCTCACCAGCAGGAAGCTCAGTTACTCCTGTTTCTAAGCCAGGAGGTTTCTGATGGCAGCTTGTTGTGGCTTAGATGTGGTCAGTCCTTCACTGTCCCTGTGTTGGAGGCTTGGTCCTCAGCTTGGTGCTTCTGAGGGATGGACGTGGAACCTTTCACAGGTGAGGCCTCCTGGGAAGGGTGGGGGTGGTGGGGGTAGAGTTAGGTGACTGGACACAAGGCTTTTGGAAGGAAGTAATGTTGGGCTTTTGTTCAGAGAGCTTGTTATGAAGTATAAGCCTTATCTCATCCATCTATCTTTGCCCATCGAGATGACATCCACCATGCTGTGACACAGGGGAAGAGGGGTCTTAAGGAGTGCAGGCACCATGCTGTTTTGCCCCTTTGACCTTCTAAATCATGATTACCTAACCTCTTTATAGGAGTCTACCCTAGGGTATTTCCTTATAACAGAAAACTAAGACATAGCCTTTGTGTTCCTGTAATAATTTCCTTGCTCACAGCACACCACAATTAGTAAAGTACAGTAAAGCAGTACTGCACTTGGAGTCAGTGCTGTATGATGTCATTACGGTGAGGTCATCATAGTGATGTCACAGCTGTGACGTCACTGGCGCTATGTTCAGTAACTGGCTGAAACTCCTACCATATTGAAAAATGAAGACAAAGCTGGAGGTATTGCAGAGTGGTAGAGCTGTTTCCTAGTGTGCACAAGGATCCCAGCACCACCAACAAAAATCGATGGAGGTCAGCAGGTTGTCCTGTGAGGCCCCTTTCCTGGGTGAGGAAGCTACTGAACAAGTAGGTTCAGGGATGTGCTCATAGGCACCATACAGGCAGAAGCAGTGGGGCTCAGATGCAGCCATGCTTGACACATGACCTCAGGCCAACTTCTGCTCTACATGGCCACCAATAAGGGCAGCGTGTACTTTGGCTTAATTGTAAATGCTTACACAGCTAGACTATGCCTTATTCTTATTTAGTTGGCAATTTTCATTTTCGTGTTTAAAAGTAGGGGGAATACAAACTGCCATCATCTATGGCCTTTAGTTCTGTTAGTTTGGTTGAATTGGTATGATATTTACAGATCAATAGCAGAATCCAGCGAGGTGGGTAGAGCCTTCTGGTATTTATATTTAACCTTTCCTTTATACAGCACGCTGGAGAAAATTGCCAACACAAGGCCTCCATAAATGAGGCCAAAAGTTCATCGTGCTGAATAACTGCTTAATTAGACACCTTCCAGAACACCACGACCTCTCAGAAAGGTCAGCTCGCTATGACAGCTGCGTGGATGTATGGTGTGAGCACCAGGCTGCACGCCACATACAATTAGGACCAACGGAGGTTTAACATATTGGTAATGATGCTCTCTGGCCTTGTATCTTGATTAACGGATGCACTGCTAAAAGGTAGGTGGGGAGGAAGATTTAAAAGAAAAGCCCACTATAGGGATAACTTGTCTTTAGTGAAATGCTTAAAACATTGGGTAGAGGCACAGTGGTCTTGTGGGTCAGGCTGAAAGACGAAGAGAGCTTGTGTGGCTTGTCCCAGCCAAAACTTGTGGTGTTGGGACGTGGGTCTAGTGGGAAGTGCTGGGGTAAGAGGGCTCGACCCCACCTGAATGGATTAATGCTATCTAGAGGGAGTGATTTACTCTAATAAGCAGGGTCAGTTACCACTGGGGGACAGGGCTGTTAAAAAACAAAACAAAACAAAACAAACAGCTCTTGTCTTTGTTCTGTCTTCCACATGCACCTACTTCCCTTCTGCCATTTGCCATGAGGTTTACACCAGAAGCCAACCACATACTAAGTGAACCTACTTTCTTTGTAAATTACTTACTTCGTCTTGGCTATTCTGTTACAGTACGAGAAGACAAAAGCAGAGAGAGAGAGAGAGAGAGAGAGAGAGAGAGAGAGAGAGAGAGAGA